CAATTTTTGGGAGTTTCATGATGCTAGGTCTCGTTGCAGCCAGCACCGTCTTTGCAGCCAGCAATTTTTGGGAGTTTCATGATGCTAGGGCTCTTCTTTGCAGCCAGCACCGTCTATCCCTTTGGTGGATTTGTGGAATCCTCCTCCATCTGGAATTGTTAAGTGCAATTTTAATGCTTCTTTTTGTGGGCAGTCCTTGCAGGGGGGTGGCGGCGCCGTTTTCCATGATTTTCAGGGTGATGTGCTTCACGCAGTTATTTTTCACCCTTTTCCCGCTTCTTCATCTTTGGAGGCGGAATTGTTAGTGTGTCGACGTGCTGTTCTTTGGGCTTTGGATTTGGGTTTATCTTGCTTATGGTTTGAATTGGAGGCCACAGTTGTAGTGAATGGTGTGTTGCGTACGGAACTTGTCCTTCGAAAATTGTTTTTTTACGTTTTGATATTAATCGGGACCGTTTTTCGTCTGCTATTTTGACTCATGCGCGTCGCCAAGATAATCGAGTGGCTCATGCGTTGGCTACTCTTTCGCGAACTGGGCTTGGGTCGTATCAGATTTTATCTTCTTTACCTCCTACTGTCGTTTCTTTTACTGTGGCAGATGTTAGATCTTAGGTTTTTTTTTTTTTTTTTTTTTTTTTTTGTTGGTTTTGGTTTCTTGGGTGTTTGTCTTTGCCAAAAAAAAAAATGGGAAGTACTTATAATAGAATAGAATCCTAGATAGGCAAGTGGAAGTATCTTTGTCATTAATGTACTAGGCCGTGAATTGTGACATGTTACCTGCCTTTGTTCCAAAGTCATAAAAATAAAAACAAAAAAATCAATGGACTTATTTTTTTCAAAAGACTTCAATTATAGTGACTTTGGAAATAAGTAGTACAACTTATATTTCTTTTCAAATTTTATAAAATTTTAGTTAAATTTTTTTATCCAAGTTCAAATCTTTTAAAGCAAAAGTGTAAGTTTATTATTTTGGTTTTGTTTTTGGTAACATATTATTACTATATTTATATTTACATATATATAATGTTGATTGAATAATTTTTGAAAAAAAAAAAACATTGATTGAATGTGTTAAAAAAAAAAATATAATTAATTAAATAAAGGATTAAGTGCATAAAATCCCTGCAAAAATATTCTTATTAAAAAAAAATATTTACATATAACTCCATATATTTATTTATTTATTTATTAAGCAAATTATTTTTGAATCATCAATTTTAACCAATACCCTCTAGCTGATATAGGCAATCATCTTATTTTATTTTTTCTGTCCTTTCTCTATCTTCAAAACTGTCTGTGTCATTGGAGATGCGATGATGTGCCGGCGGCCAATGAACTGTGACAAGGGGGAAACTTGGTGGTTGTGAGGATTTCAGTGGCGATGAGGAAGTGAACGGCAAGAATGCGGCGACGAGACTACCGGCGATTCAAAGATGCACGGACTGAACTTACCGTTTCGTCCATTTCTGCCGCCGCCTCCGCCAACGTTGATGAGGCTTGCAAAGAACGTGCTCGGGGATTCAAAAAATCATGGCATCCGTTTCGTCCATTTTTTAGTCTTCTTTCCAATATGATGATGATGGAGACTTTTAAGTTTTATGATGGGAAAATAGTGTCGGCAAGATGGTTTGTGAGGTTTACCCAACAGAAATTGGCATTTGCGAAAGCCATCAAATCCTTTAAGAAACATAGAATCAATAAACTGATTGAAGATAGTCCAATGATAGGCTAATCCAACCCATCATTTGTTCTGATGATTATTATTGATAATTTATACTTCTACTCTCTTCATCTTACTGTTTTAATGTAACCACATCCCACAACAGCGAAAAATATTTCTCACATTTTTTTTCTGAGAAAAGAGAAATTTTAGAAAGACTATGGTGACAGAAAGACAAAATTTAGATATAGATACCAGAAAAATTATGGACCAGACAAAATTCAGTAATAAGTGTTTTTTACTTTTAAACCATGAACCAAATCAGTCCTAATGGTTTTTCGATCTCTCTATATGAATAGGAAACGAAGTTCTGATGCATCAAATCACTCTAAATTGTATGGTTGGAATTGGTTTTGATAGGATTTACTGTTTGAATAATTTTGTATCAGCTCCAACTTTCAATCGAGTTGTTGATTGTGCTTGTGCTTTTCTGATTTTAACCGACAGGATCGTCACATAATTAAGTTTTTTACACTCACTACTGATTTTGTAAAAAATTAAAATGAGTAACCCGATTTTGATACTTTCTCCCCCATTTGTTTTGGATATTTGAAAAAATTATGAAGGTTATTTCACTTTAATATTGCATCGTACTGTTAACTTATTTTGTAAAGTTGCAAATGAAATGGGGCGAGTCCAGCTTGAATTTGTTCGCATGACTCATTTATTTGTGGACTCAACTCGGGTTTGAAAAGTTGAACTCAAGCTCGATCCGTTTAATAATAAGAAAAGTTGTTCTGATCTGATCGAATTCAAAATCGTTTTGACTTGTTTTTTAAATTATATAAGTTTACACAAGTTCAAATTCATAAACACATTCATGAATAAACTGTTTGTTCACGAACTTATATGAACCTATACTTATGTTCCTATACGAACAAGTCCGATACTGAATCTTAAATAAGCCAAGCCGAAATTATTTATGCACAGCTTATTTCATTTACAATCCTAATCGTATTAATCCCAAATAGTGGAGTTCACTACCGAAACGTACCATATTAGTTGTTTATTCCAAAACAACCAGAGATGATAGACAAACTTACATGATATGGGGCTAGGTCAAAGATTTTGTTTTACAACCCAAAAGCTAGGACGTGGTGTCCTAAAGTTGGCTATTGCAATGATCATGAAACATTTAGTATTGCAAATGAATTAGACCGTTAACGAATATTTTGGACTTTGACTTGTTTAAAGCTTGACTTTAATTTGTTCGCGATAAGTAAATGGGTTGAACTCGGGTCCTATTTCTAAACTAACTTAATAAATTAATAAGTCAAGTCGTATAGGTCCTTGTAAATATAAGTTTGCATAGGTTAATTTATACTGATGAACATGATCTCGTTTATGCTTGTTTTTATAAAAATGTTGAGCATGATTACAGTATTTTATGTAATTTTTCAAAACTAATCTTATGAGAATATTGTATATTTAGTAGGGTAAAGTGCTCTAAACCCCCCTGAACTATTGGTCATTTGCGGGAAACCCCCATGAACTACAAAAAAACCCCTGAACTATGATTTTGTTGCAATTTACCCCCATGACATCAGCTTCCGGTACCGAAAATTTTGAAAGACCAGTTTACCCTTATAACACGTACACTGCGTCGTTTTAACTTATACACTTCTTATTTTTTTTTTTTTCTGCCAAAAGATGCCTTTCACCCAACACAACCCAAAATTGAGAGCTAGAGAGAGAGAGAGAAGGAACCAAAGAAATCCGAGGTCGGCGGGATGACTCGGTCTCAAATGATGGCGGCTTGTGCGCGGAGGACTCGGCTGTGATGAGAGCTCGGTTGACTCGGCCGTGAACTGTGGAGGCGGCGGCGAACTCAAGGGGGCTCGGCGGTGAACTGTGGACGGCTGTGTGCTCGAAACACGGACGGCGATGTGCTCGGTTATGGAGATGGCGGAATGGGCCGGCGAGATTGGAATGGACGGTGGAATGGACCGGCTAGCAAGGTGAGCTGAACGGCGGGCAAGGCGGTGACGGCGATGGGCTGATGCAACAGTGCAGAGAAGTGCGATATATATAGCCGACGGATCTGGCGAGTGGTGCAACGGCTATGATGGAGCTATGATGGAGCTATGACAGGAGACTCACGGATCCCAGCAACAAATTCCTCGGCTTCATCATCCCTTTCAGTCAATCATTTCGCGTGGATGGGGTAAACTGCAAAAACATATATAGTTCAGGGGGTTTTTTTGCACATACCCCAATAGTTCAGGGAGGTTTTTTGCAACTTTTATAGTTCAGGGGAGTTTCTTGCACATACCCTAATAGTTCAGGGGTTTTTTTTTTGTAATTTTTATAGTTCAAGGAGGTTTCTTGCACATACCTCAATAGTTCAAGGGGGTTTAATGCACTTTACCCTATTTAGTATAAGTTTCATGGAAGGATACTGTGCTTATGAGATTAATAAGCAAGTTTGGTAAGTTAACTAGCTGAAAATGTTCATAGGTAGTTGTTAGCTTTATGAACACTGAGTTTAAACTGAACTTGAACACAAAAATCATATTAAATTTAACTTATTTTATTAAACAAATCAAGTTTCAACTTTTTTAAAATTATGATGAGTTAAGTTCGTCACAATTTTAAGTCCGAGTGTGAGTTGAACCCACAAATGAACCTGCCCAGTTTACGCAATTTAAAGTTCGTCTCAACTCAGACTTATTTGCAAAGACACAAATATTGAAAAAGAGACACAAGAGAAGAATCAAACATTTCTCCGCAAAATCTTTTCTTTGACTCCCAAATTATTGAAAAAAACAAAACAAAATGAAAAGCATTTTTTTACTCGCATCATATCTTTCTTTCCAAGAAGGCAATGCCTCCGACCCCATCATGTCTCTGTCAATTGCCTCCTATTGTTCGATCGTGGTGGTTAAACGAGTGATGCTGGTATATATATATAGAGAGAGAGGAGAGATACCATAAATGGGGATGGAGGTGGTTTAGAAGGTGCTTTTCAAAGAGATCACAAGGTCGGGGGTCAGAGTTGGGATGGGGGCGTGTCTCCCGCTCACACTCCTCAAACGCCTTTGGTTGGTCCCACTATATACCACCTAAGATGGGACCCACATGGCTAACATTTTCCTCTCGAGGGTTCGGTGGTTGGCTGTCTCCATGATAGTTAAAAGTACATTTGTGAAGGCCATGCTACCAAAACTTTTCATGCATTTTTGGAGTAATATATATATATATATATATATATATGAATGTCCTACCGCCCATATATATCATAAATATCATAATGTATTCAATACCTCTTTTAAGTTGTGATGATACCGACTTTCTTTCTTCTCATCCCCTCAGTATACCTACTTTCGTTATTCTTAATTGAGCTAGGCAGGACTTTAGGAAAAATCACTTTATTTGTTTCCTTGTTTGAACTAAACTAATTACATATTTATGGACTAATGTCTCAAGACCTGAATTTATCTGTAAATGGTCAGTCTCAGGTCCCTCCAGGTTTTCGATTCCACCCAACAGAAGAGGAGCTTCTTCACTACTATTTGAGGAAGAAAGTGGCCTCTGAGAAGATAGATCTTGACGTTATTCCTGACGTTGATCTTAATAAGCTTGAACCATGGGATATCCAAGGTAAAAACGATATCCATCCATACATATATATGTACATATATACAAACCTTATGTTAAATTAGATTTTGTTATAGATTGATCAACTATATATATATATATATATATATATGTTTGTGTTGAACTTATAATGCATGATTAATGACTTTGCTTTCATGTTGTACATGTTGGTGTTTTTCTGAAGAGAGGTGCAAAATAGGATCCACCCCACAAAATGATTGGTACTTCTTCAGTCACAAAGACAAGAAATACCCAACAGGGACTAGGACCAACCGTGCCACTGCAGCTGGGTTCTGGAAGGCCACAGGTCGCGATAAGGCCATCTACAGCAGTTTCAGAAGGATCGGACTGAGGAAGACTCTCGTCTTCTACAAAGGACGAGCCCCACATGGACAAAAATCGGACTGGATCATGCATGAATATAGACTGGAAGACAACACTAGTATCCACTGTGCCAATGTAAGTCGTCTTAACTAATATATATTCTTCTTTAAAATTAATATTGTCTCAAATATATGTTGAATAATGATTTGGATTTCAAAAGTAGGACAACTCTAACTAATTTATGAGTGAGCGGTGATTTCATTAATATTCAATTACTCATATTTGTTTCTTTTACGCACATAAGTATTCACAATAGACTTCAGTCCTCTGACTTGGTAGGAGAGTCTGCATCAGAAGATGGGTGGGTGGTTTGCCGCGTTTTCATGAAGAAAAATTTCCATAAGGTTCTACATAGTCATGACCAAAGCTCATCTACCTCCATGGGTGTGACACAGATTAGCAATTCGGGTACTGATCATGTACTAGATCAGATACTTGTGTGCATGGGAAGGTCTTGCATGGAGGAAAATGAGATGATAAACAGTGACAATAGTATGCAATTTCTGACCCCAATTATCACCACTGCAGCCATCGGCTACGAGTTTCCGATGGGTGGATTTGCCCGTCTTCCAAGGTTAGAGAGCACTCCAACAATGCCATCAATTGATGAGATGGTCACAGAAACTGAACCATCTTGCACTGATCATCGTCGAGGCATGAGTACTGCTTGCAAGAAAAACATAATTGATCATGTCCAAAATGATGTGCTTACTGACTGGGCTGAGCTTGACAGGCTTGTGGCTTCACAGCTCAATGGTCCTGTAGAGGGATCCGAGAAATTGTCCAGCTATGGTGTGCCCAATGATGACTTCTGCATCTCCATTGATGATGATCTACATGTACCTCATTTACGTTCTAATAGACCAAACCAAGCTTCTCAAGCCTATAGCAGCAGCGAGATTGATTTGTGGAGTTTCACACAATCAATGTCTTCATCGTCGTCTGACGCACTAGGCCACTTCTCCGTATAACAGCTAGAAGTATTCAAGCTATCATACATATACATACATACATACATATATATGTATATGTGTGTGTGTGTGTGTGAGTGTGTTGTGGCTAAAATTTCCTGAAGTCAAATATATACATGATGTTACATAAATAAAGGAGTGATATCTTAGATGGGTGGCATTGTCAACGAGATTATATCCTTACTTTAATAAGGATATCTTCCATTTCATTATTGTTATCAAGGAATATCTTTCTATCGGTAATCATGTTCTGAGGGTTTGAGAGATCTTAATTGCCTGTGGAATTCCTTGACTGTACTGTGGCAATAAATTTGCCAATTTAAATTGCCTTTAAAGTAGGCTAGAGCTGTTTGGTACGTGTTTTGTTTTTAATAAAACAAAACATGTGTTTTATTGTAGATTGTTTTGAATAGTAATGAAAGCATGTTTTGGTGACGTCTATTTGTTGAAATTTTTTTGAAACAAAAATATGAAAACATGTTTAGTAAAACAATGTTGCAAGTTTAAAAAATATAATGATTAATTTAAAAATGTCATTTAAGAATTTATTTATTTATTATTATTTTTCAATATTCATTGCTATATATATATATATATAGAGAGAGAGAGAGAGTACCCATAACTATAGTACAAAAACATATAAAAAAATAAAATTAGTGTTTCGATTTTTGATCGTTATTTACGAAACATTTTGATACTATGCAAAATAAAACACTTTTTACAAAATAGAATTTTTTACAAAAACCACTGCTACAGTGCTCGACCTAAAACAAAAATACCAAAAACAAAACGCATACCAAACAGCCCCTAAGCTTTTTTGGTTGATGCTCAAGAAAAAAGGTTGCATATAGAACCATTTCAATATTAGCTTTCTACATTCAATGTGTGTGTAAATCAGATCCTTATAAATAGTGAGGATACTATTTCTTTATACTACCTCCTTTCAAATTAAATGTCAACCTTTTTTATTTTTGGTTGTTCAAAATAAATGTCTCATTTAAAAAGTTAAAGTATTATTTTTTGTAGCATTACCAATTTAACCCATGAACTTATAAAAAATAAATTAATTATCACATTATGTTGACACACTATAAACATAGTTAGTAATTCATTTATAAAAAAAATAAAAAAATAAAAAAAACTAATGGAGCCTTAATTCACAATTTTATTATTATTAATTTTTTTTTGGAACAATACTCTTAAAAAAACTCCCTAAAGCAATTTATTAAAATATGTATTAAATGATTCGTTAGCCTTTTTATATATATATATATATATGAGTAATGCTTCTACGAGAAACATCCCTTTTCACAAGCTATCCTTACTGGGACTTCTATTGTTTAAGAATATATTACTCAAAGTTTTAATTAGAAAGACGAAATCTTTGAATAATAAAAAGTTGTATGTCTTTATAAGATGCCATCAATTATTATGTTGAAAAGAAAAAAGTTACACCAAGGGTCAACGTGCCTATTCCCCTAAAAAAATAAATAGACATTGAGACCATACACCGGTCGCATCCCAACCGTCCAATCAAACGGCTTAGATGCGCGGGTGTACTCCAATACTTACACCCTACCATGACAGCAGAAACACAAGAGCCGGTTAAAACATGACGGCTGGAAAAGGTAGGTGCGACAATTACCAGGATTTACCGACTGACCTCCACGTAGAACTGAATTGATTGGCTAGTCATGTACGCCACGCATTTGGGCCAACGAGCCCAAATGTTGTTAAGCCCACTATGGAGTGTTGGACACGATCTCTCTCTAAACCAATTTATTATTATTATTATGCAATTAATCGTTTTCGCTAAAGAATCAATTAATCAGATCTCTTAATTGATGAAACAAAAATTGATATTCATGAATATATATATATATATACCAGTACATCGGAGATTACTTCATATGGGGATGTCGTTGAAATACTTCCTATGATAGTAACAATAAGCATGTCAATCAATACCAACAACAACATTTTATGAATATATTTGAATTCTGGGCAGTGGTTACAATATTTGAAAAAACACATTTAGTTTGTTGCAAAAGACCTTTTTTGTCTAGGATTTAGTTCATTACGAGAAAGACTTTTTGATTAATACAGCTAATTCATACCACGATTTCATATACATGGTCGGATCAAATTTGTGGTCGTCTTGGTATCATTACTTTTGCTTTCTCAATCTACAGCTAATCAACATCACCATTTCAATTCAACACCTCCATTTTCTCGTTGAACTTTGGAATAATGCAAAATAGGAATGTCCGTTCTGCAAATTTCAAACATTCAATCAAATACAAAGTTTTATCAGAATTTCATTTGGCATTAAATTTAAGAAAATTAAATACAAGGGCTGTTTAACTTAATCATTTAATTAGAGGGAAAAGAAAAAAAAATTAACAAAGGGACCAGTCACAACATGACGTGTGGAAAATTAGGGCCATGTCCGACCAAAATATAAGGGGCGGCCTGGTTTGTAAAAACTATTTTCAAAGATCTATATAAATACTTATGTGAAAAGATGGCATTTTTATTAAGCACAATTTTTGTATAATTTTTTTATTTTTAATTCTCTAAAAATTAAAAAAACAATTAAAAATCAAGCAAGCCTAGACCTAAGCGATTTACCAATAGACCCCAACACATAGAAAGGAATGATAATGATGTGATGAAAGATGAAATGACCCTTTCATTCCTAAAAATCAACGAACCTAAAAGTAATATTCGTGAAGACAGCCCAGCACATCAGAGATGACTTCATATGGGAGTCTTTGAAACACTTGTTGTCATTGTAACAACAAGGACATCAATTAATTTCAAGTAATAACATTTTTGCAACAAATTACCCCCCAAAAAAATTTCTCAACAAGACAATGGGCCTATAAGAGAGAGTAGGCCAAGAGCTGATCGAGAAGCAACCAATAAAAACAAGGCCTTGAGGCCCAAAACAACATTAAACAATATAGTGAGGCACAAACAAGAGAATTAGATTTCAGGGAAATGGAAAGATGAAAGGCTAGAATAAAGCAGACGTCTAGATTGTTTTGTGACTATATCTATATATGTTTGTAATAGCAAAGAAATCCTAAAAAATTCCAACAAGATAACTAATAAAAATCAACTAAATCCCAATCTAATTTGACACTCTTCCTCTAGTATTGGCATTGGGCCTCTTAAAACGCCCTATAATTAATTTTGATCAATTTTTTTTTTAATATATATATATATATATATATATAAACTCCAAAATACCCTTAAAAGGCACTTTAGGTAATTCATTCTTCAAATTTTTTAAATAAAAAACCCCCAATTTTTTATATTAAAAAAAAAACTCCAAAATCAGCTGAAATTCCAAATTTTTTATAAAACTCCCAAAAACTTTTATAAAATCGCAAATTTTTCAATATTTTTTATTTTTATTTCGTCTTAAATGCATTTTAGGTCTTTCAATCTTCAAATTGTAGAATTGTCATTATTTACTCGTATTAAAAAATGTTGGGAGTTTTTAAAATACATGAGGTATTTACACATACTATATATAATAGGATTTTTTTTTACAGTTTACCTATTATCTAGTATACACTCTTAATATTATACATTTCCGATTAATCAACTCATTAAAGAGCATTTAGCCCAATGCTATAATTGTGAGAATATATATATATATATATATAATTGTGAGTGTGCGCGAAGATTAATAATGTGTATAGGAGGAGAGAAAGAGAGAGGTCCTCTCTCGGTCATCACACCACTACCATTTGTGGTCCCCAGTGCAAGGTAGTGCTCGTCCAGCTGATGCTTAATGTGTTAGTTGTATTGGACTTTGCTTTACTTTTATCATGTGAATTTTTCTGATTTTCTCACGGTTACCTTTTTGGTGACAAATTATTGTGTACTCTCAAAAGTACCCCCAATGATAATAGAAATTTGTCACCCACCACTTACCATTTTGGTATGTTTATTAGTTTTGTTGGCCTCCTTCTTGGTTTGTGATTGATGTTAATTTCCTTTGAAAAGTACCCCTCAATGATAAAAATAATCTATGAAGAACAAATTATTCATCAAATTAAAGTTCTAGAATACTATCCCTACCCCGCTCAGCTCTGCTAACAGAAACTCTCCATCCCCAACCCATTCAGAATGCCACACCCTATTTGGCCCCACTACACACACACACACAACTGTTACAAAATAAAAATCCTAATCATTTACTAATAAATGGGATATTCATTTATTTAGCATTATATGCTTGGTGACAACATTTATGAAATTAAACCTAGGTAATTCGACCCTAGCTCCAACCCAGACCCGATTCTGGGTTTGCTCATAAAGGACTAAAATTAAGAGACGTGAAATTATGAAAAATCTTAGGTGTGGCAGTGTAGGCGTCCCCACCTAGGGATGACCATTTATGCTCAAATCAAGTCCAACTAAAATTACTTTATTTGGGTGACTAATTTAAGTGACTGGATTAGTAATTGGTAAAAAGTGAATACCCATTATAATTTAAGAGTAAATGGTGGATACTCATTTTAACCGGCTCACAAAACTCTCTTTGTTAACTTTATCAAAACTGAGAGAGTGTCATGTCCTTGTGCCTAACCTAAGGTGTGGCATTGTACTTTTTATTTATTTTTTTTTTTTCACCCTTTTTTTCTCTCTCCTCATCCCTTCCCTCCCCTCCGTTCTCTCTCCCCCTCCTTCCACACTCTTCCTTCCACTTATGAAAATAAATAACCAACAACTCATTAGAACTCCTGCTCAAAATATTTTTTTCTATATATATATATATATAAGTAATATTGCTGAGTAAATTGTATAGTGACTCTTTCTAAAATAATAATAATAATAATAAATGCAATGCTTGAAATAAAAAAATTAATGTAACAACAATTTTTTTTTTTTGGTATTCAATAATCAAAATAACTTAGACAATTTGTGTCTAAAAATATTCATCATCGGGTTGGGTGTAAGTTTATTGACCCATTTATCTACCGTTATAAATGGGCTAATAATCAATTATTGACCTATTACAAACTTGTCTATTCATAATCAGCTCGTAAGCCGTCCAAACTTACCCAATTGCCACCCCTACGCCCACCTACGTTCCTAAGTTCGAATCCCCTTCCTCCTAACCCCACTACTTCAACTATCTAACCATTGCCAAGTGTAAAAAAAAAAAAAAAATCTGTTCTTGTTTGATTTTACGACCGTAATTTAGAATAAAATCAATAAAAACGTAAAAAAAAATAAAAAATAAATGAAAAAAGAACAGTTTTGACCGGTCCACAGTCAAATGATTCCCCTTCAATTGGCATTGAATTGGTTGGCGGTCTTCGAGGAACGAAACTTGCCAAAACCAAATGCACTTAGTAAGTAGCAGCACTACTCTTCATTATTTAACTTAAACGACAAACTATGCTAACACCACCAACAACAAAGCCCATCTCTTTCTCTCCCCTCCAGCTAGCTGCACACACCACGTGAAACCATAAGAGTTCGTCAGCTGATATTTAAGAGTAAAATAAAAGCTCATCAATTTTGAAGGACTTTGGATTCTTATGCTATATACACTCCTCTTTCTATCTCATATTCATGTGATCATGTCCTCTAGCTACTACCATCCCAATCAATAATATATACATAAGACATATCACAACCTCGCAACTCCCCATTTCACCATGCCAGTAGAAAACACCCACGCCTTACAGTAAATATATTGGAGCTCGTACTCTGTTAGATGCTGCACGAATAAATACACACACATCACATATGTGTGTGTGTGTAATAATGTAAATATATATGATGCAAAGTTTCTTGACAGTCTCACCATTTGTACATGGTATTAATTTTACCATGCCACAACAAAACACCTAAGCTTACGGTAGATTTGTTGGAGCTCGTACTCTGCTAAGATGCTGCACGGATACACATGCATACTCACCTTCGGGACCTTTCTCTATCTCATTCATTTCTCTTATTACAGTTAATAGACACCAAAAATATCACACACAAACTATAGCACCCTCCTCTCTTTTCTCCTCTCGGTAAACAGTTTCTGTTACCATATCTATGGGAAAGGGAGGTACCTCATGGTTGACAGTTGTAAAGAGGGCCTTCAGGTCTCCTACCAAGGACAGTGAGAAAAAGAGCTGCAGGAGGAGAGAAGGAAATGAGCAAGAAGAAGAAGAAAAGGTAATTAAATGCACGGTTCTCTCACTTTTTTCTTCATTGTTTATGGTTGGAATGGACCATCTCTGTAGTCTCTATACACACACACACATATATATAGCTCATTTGTGTGTATGCACTTTTGGGTTTGTGCAGCAAAGAGAGAAAAGAAGATGGTTGTTCCAGAAACCTACTAATAATGCACAACAGTGTGAAGCAAAGCAGGTAACAAACACCACTCAGTCTGCCAATCCTATTATGGATGCTGAGCAAAGGCATGCAATTGCAGTGGCAGCGGCCACTGCAGCAGCGGCTGAGGCAGCTGCCGCAACAGCCCGAGCGGCAGTGGAGATCATCCGGCTGACTAGGCCCTCCGATTCAGTTACAGAAAAATATGCTGCTACAGTCATTCAGACTGCGTTCAGAGGCTACCTGGTAAGCACTTTCTTTTGAGTGCACCATATGTTTTTCAAAGCAAGAAAGTACTTTTAAAATATTAATCAAACATGTAAAAGGAAAAAAAAACAAACAAAAAAAACAAAACTAGGAGGATTGTTACCATTATTTCTATATATTTTATTATTTCTCAGAAGATTTTGGTTGTTTGAAGGCAAGGACAGCTCTGCGTGCACTTAAGGGGCTTGTGAAGCTTCAAGCTTTAGTTAGAGGACAAAACATTCGCAAGCAAGTGAAGATGACACTAAAATGCATGCAAGCTCTGCACCAAGTGCAGGCTCAGCTGCACGATCAACGCGCAAGGCTTTCACATGAGCTGAGCAGGAAGTCCATGTTTGCCGAAGCCAACAACTTGTGGGAATCCAGATATCTTAAAGACATCCGTGAGAGAAAGTCAATAGTAAGTAGTTTTCTACAGTCCCAACGGTATGAGTATAAAGCATTACCTCCTCCTCGGTTTAATGGGAGTTTGCATCACAGTCCAGAGACGGAAGCTGCAGTGCAGACCACCGGAATGACCGTGCACTTACACTTCAAGAACTGGAAGCTATCTTGCAGAATAGAAAGGAAGTAGCTGAAAAGCATGAAAAGGACCTGGAGTACACTTTCAATCAGCAGGTTCCTCCCTCTCTCTCTCTCTATATATATGTTTATCTCGATTATGAATGCTCATCCGTATTTTTGTATGTGCCCCATAAAGATATGGACATCGGATAGGGACCCATATGGTGGAGATAAAAAAGAGATAGAAGGAAGAACAAGCTGGCTTGATAGGTGGACGACGACGAAGCAATGGGAGAGCAGCGGCAGAGCTTCAACTCATATGAAGATGGTCGACATTGACACGTCCAAGCCTTGCAGTTGTTCCACTCCTAATGTCAGAAAACTACAATCACAAAATCATCAAGAAAAACTACCAATCATATATTCTGTTGCTTCTCCGCGTCACAGAGCATCCTACCATCAAGTGCCCATCACGCCCTCTCCAACTAAAACGAAACCACTGCAAGTGCGTTCGATGAGCCCTCGATACCTAAAAGAAGAAAGAGGCACTAAGGCAGACACCCCAAGCTTGGGCTCCGCTAACTTTTTCAATGGCAGTGTAAAGAGCTATAGCACAGGTGTGTGTGCAGCTGCTGGCACCACGGTTGTGCCTAACTACATGGCAGCAACCGAGTCTGCAAAAGCTCGGATTCGGACTCAATGTGCATCAGGATGGAGGGCCTCGACGCCAGAGAAGGAAAGAGGTGGATCAGCAAAGAAACGCCTCTCATACCCTAATCCCGAGCCATGCAATAGTTTTAGCATTGGCTATGATAGTTTAGGCCAAAACTTGAGAAGCCCCAGCTTCAAGAGTGTTCAAGCAGGATATGTTGGAATGGAGCAGGAGTTTATCATGTCTTCACGTTATACAGACAGTGTTGGGGGAGAAATTTCGCCATGTTCAACCACTTACCTAAGACGGTGGTTAAGATGAGCGAATGGGAATCCATGAGCATAACTCGTGAACGATGAAAGTGATGACCGTAATAATCAATCTGTTGCATAATGATACATCAGAAACCGAGGTCTGGGGATAATTAAGACTGGAACGTGCAGAGGAAGCAATAATATGAATTGGCGGACAATTCCAAGTCTCTGTGGTGTGGTAGCTGGAGACACGATGAGATGGTTGTTCCATCAAAACAGAGATATCACCCTGTCATGGGACCTAGAATTTGTAATGAGCTAGGCTGCACATGTTCTTAACTCATTATGATGTGAGAAGAAAATTTAATTATACTTTTGTCAGTTCTCTATAATGTCGGTGATGGAGGCAGTTGAGAATGATTTTGTAACACCCTCTTGAAATGTTTGAATAAAATTTCGTTTTTGCCACAACAAAAAAATAAAATAAATAAATAAAAATCAAGGTTATGGTTGTTTTCTAACCAAATGTAGAAGCTAGGATTGCAATCTACAAATAAATCTTCTTGACAAAAAAAAAGGCTCTACATTACCTTTCTATTACCTAATTTACACAGGTGATTTGAGACCATCAAATGGAGCATTATTATTGTATGATTGCTGGTTTCATAGAAATGAACAGTGGTAGTTTTTGAGACAATCAAGTAAAATTACCTATGTTTTACTGAATACTACCAAAATTAAAATGAACAAAGTAAGATAAATGCAGCAAGTTCATATCTTGACAACCATATCTAATATCTCAAATAGACTTTAAACAAAATTTACTTTTAGTATTAAAAAAAAAAAAAGAAGACTAGATTCACAATAACTCAGTTTCATACACCAATACTTAGACGAGAGATAAAAGAAAAAAGAAAAAAAAAGAAAAAGAAAGTGTGATGAGATGCAATAAGTTCATATCTTGACAACCAAAACTGATTAATATAAATATCTAACAGATACTAAAAAAAAAAAAACCATTAAATTGTATAACAGAACTACGAGAGACAACAAACAAACATGAACAGCAATCGAATGATAACGCAATGCAGTAACATATTATCAAACACATGGTAGTCACTATACGGATAGCAGAAGTTGAATTCACAAAGACGCATCTCGGTATGTTCAAATCAGAAATAACGCAAACAGAAAATAGCAGTAAAAAAGAGAAATAGAGTTTCTTGTGATTACCAATCAGCCCATCAAATGATTCTGAGAGAGCTTCCTGTATATAATATATTATGCAAGTCAAGCCGTCCTGTTGCCCAAAGAAGCAACTCAGGACAGCAAAACTACTTCTTGTTTTTGGGTCAATGTATCAGTTGTGGAAAACGCGTGTAGTGTACGCGAAAAAGGTCGAGTGAGCATGTGGGTCGAGTTCCAAGACCTACAAGTGTTGGGCCAATAATGAACCAAGGGTTCAATGAGGGTCTAGGGTGGCATTGCCACGGCACGCTTACACGATATGAGATAAGATAATTTGAGTTTGGATTAATTGTGTTCGTGTTGTAATCATGTCGACACAGATCATTCACTAACTAAACGTATCGTGTTTGCGTCTGACCTACACGATTATCACATAATTAACTCGATTAACTAAACGTGTCAGATAAAAGTGTAGGGTTTGTGTAAAAAATGACTTATTTAGCTAAATGTGTAGAATAAATATATCGTGTTCACGTAAAAAAATGATTTAAATGTGTCTTTTTGTGTCGTATCAAGGTTTGACTCATTTATTAAACAGGTTACGCGTGTTATGTCGTATTACATATGTAATAATCGTGTCGTATTCGTGTCAAGAATTTTAGGCACGATTAATAATTATGTCATAATTATGTTGACATGAATACGACCTACCAACACAAATTGTCACCACTAAAAAGAGGTTAGTTTGCCAATAGAAATTTAGAGAGAGTTTGGGCCTGCTGGGTATTTGGAAACTACTTTCTCATGATAGTCTTTTGTTTTTAGGAAATAGACATGGGTAACCTTCCGGGAAAAAATAAAAAAACATGACATAGGTAAAAGTAATTAAATTCAATATTTTTTTATAGTTTTTTTTATATATTATTTTTAGATATGTAAAACTAGCCTCCCAAAGTATAATTTAATGGCAATATATCTTTGTTAAATAAATTCACCACTTTCAGTCTTTGAATAATGTTTACGAGCATTGTATAGTGGCTCAGAATTAGTATTGGAAGAAATTGAATTCAAATTTCTTTGTCCATTTGATGCTCTCAAAGGCGTCATTAGTAGTAAGTGATTAATTTGTTTTAACTTAAAAATATTTTCTATAAATAAATGCTTGGCTTTACAATGAGTAGTGCTATACTTGACTATTAATTTTTTTTCACTACTGAAATTATTACTGCTAAGCAAAAACTCTAAATTAGTAATGAATAATGATAAAGTCTCTCTGCGTTTAAAGTATTCAAATCAATACTAAAACGATTTTGAAATTTTTATCAATTTTCATTTACAATAAACCAAGTAAAATATTCCTCTAATAAATTTTGTTATATCATTTGTACAAGAGCTAATTACGGTCCATGGTCAATTGTATATGAGCTCGTAATAGTTAATGCCATATTTAATTGATCATTTATTGCTAAATATTGGTAAGAATACGAACTTAAAGGAAAGTTGATATAGCATATACCACTTGTAACCTGCAATTCCTAGCAATGGTCCAGTGTTGAATTGCCATGGACCATCATCTAGTTGGGATACAAGTGAATATACTTCTGCATAACATCCCCGTCTTGAGATTTTCCATCAATTCTTAACTCAGCTTTTATAGCTACCTTAATCTTCACTTTGTACTCTTTTAACAAGTGTTTAGTTTTTTTTTTTTTTCAAAAAAATTATGATCGTGATTTATGCCCAAACACCGGAAAACAAAAAGAAAAAAAAATATTCACTTTACGTGGAAAAGGTTTAGAAAATGCTTTAGTGCGTTTGGTAACAGGATTAGAGTGACACTTAAAACAATTAGTTAACCAAAAGAAATTTAAAATTTTATTACTAGGCTTCGTTTGGATACACAAGAGAGAAAAGAAAAGAAAAGATTATGAGAGAAAAGAAAAGAAAAAAATAATAGCTATAATTTATATTCATTTTTGGATAATTACGAGAGAAAAGAAATCAATTGCCAATATTGTTATTTGGATAATACAAAGGAAAGAAAAAAAAGGAAAAGAATAATAATAAAATTATCATCTTACCCTTTTTGGTAGGGTTAGTAGGGCAAAATCATTTCAGCCTCCCTAATCGCCTCCATCTCTTTCTCTCTCTCTCTCTAACTGCAAACTACAAAATCAAAAGATCAAAACCCATATCCGCCTATCATTTCATATTGTTTCCCAAAATCAAAACCCGTATCTTTCAAGCTCCCCCCCCCCCCCCCCCCCTCTCTCTCTCTCTCTCTCTGTGCAAGTGCTAACTTGTATGTATGGGTTTTGTTTTAAATTTTTTCTAAAATCAACTAATCAAGGTCTTTAATTATTGTTTTGCAACTCTCTCTCTCTCTCTGCAACTGCAAACTACACACACATATATATACATATATTTCAGCCTCCCCAATAGCCTCCATCTCATTCTCAGCCTCCCACTCTCTCTCTCTCGACAACTGTAAAATATATATATATGTATATATAATCGGCTGTCTCTCAACTGCTTTTTCTGTAATTTGTTCCAAATCTTGTCAATTTTGGAGGGATTCCAAATGAGTATCCCTCCAAATCCCTCCTAATCCTTTCTTTTCTCTCTTTAGCTTTCTATCTAAACGCTCTAATTACTATTATTTCATTTCTTTTCTCTCCTAATCCCTCCATCCAAACGAAGTCTAAATATGCTTCCGCAATACTGTTTATTCTCTTTTTCAGTGGTTTATTGTACAGAAAGCAGGGGAATAAAAAATTGAAAACAGTCCTTACGACGCACAAAACCCATCCATACAGATTCTTTCCCAGTCTCACCTTATATATCTTGTGGTTAGCACTTTGCACTAACTCTTATGAGAGAGATTTGGGACAAACCAACTTTGACTAGTCCATCATTTTTTTGCTTCATATTATTTATTAGCTCCACCCAGATGTACAAACAAATATTAAATTGTTATATATATATATATATATATATATATATAAAAAGAAAAGTTATCTGATAAGCTAAGTCCTGAACTTTCCTTTTAAGCTAATACGAGATGACCCCACTTATATAAGTCCTGAGTTTTCCTTTTAAGCTAATACGAGATGACCCCACTTATATAAGCATTAGTTTTTCCCACTTATATAAGTGGGATCAACTCATATTACTTAAAAAGAAAACTCATTGTATAAGTGGGGTCAACTCATATTAGCTTAAAAGGAAAACTCATTACTTAGGTTACAGACTCACAAAGAAAGCTCATTATCACATAACTTACAAGAAAAGCTCCTTGCCTAGCTTATAATAGAAGTCCATTTTTGAAGCACTATATAAATATATAAATATATATATTTATATATATGCATATGCTGTGAGCTTGTGTTTGAGAGATGCACTTGCCAAGTGAATAAAAGAAGAGAAATGATAGGCCTAACGACCTCAATTATCGACTCCAAAAATAAAAATAAAAATTTCCGTAAACATCTATTTTTCTTCAACTTATTCCCAACCACGTTATATTCAGAAAAAGAGTCGGTAATTGAAATTGGAAGACCTATTATTTTTCATAAAAGAAAAATTTTCACCTTACTAATGTCTCATTGTTCTGTAATCTTTGTTTATCTTTGTTTAATTCTCTCAGTTCTTGGTATATCTATAACATAAGGCTATATAAATGCTTTACCAGGAATCATTTTCAGATAGAGAACGTATCAAGGGGAAAAGCTGAGTTCATTTATGGTTTCTCTTTAGCTCAATTTCTTAATTGCTAAAAAAAACTCTCATACAGGAGGGGGGAAAAAAAAAAAAACACACACACACACACACACACTTTAATACAATGATGATACTAATGGCATTGTATCACTGACTAACTAAATACCGACCTTAAGTAAGAAATGTTCGCAAGGGCAGTTTTTACAACTCAAATAGATTGAAATTCTGTTCAAATCAAAACTTCAATAGCACTCTGATGTCTTCTATGTATGGTTAGACCCACTGGTGTCTAAGTTCTAACTTTTATTTGGTATTCTCGTGGTCTCAAGTGTCATGGACTAATATTAATAAAACATTCTACTGACCTTTATTGTATGACCAAATGAAAACTGCAACATGGTTCAACCGAAATATAACATTGAGCTTTGTTGAATCCCATTCAATCTGGCTCTTTTAGAGTTTAGCAAATTATCTTCTCAGGTAAAATAAAAGGATGGACTTTAAATGTTGGGGCAATACTTGTCAGAGTCACAAATGAAGCACTGTGACTGGCGGTTCTTCTAAATTTCGGTCCTCCACTCACTATATGAATTAAATCCAAATAAAGATCATCAGTCTATCCATGAATTCGAAATCTTGTTGGTTCCAAAATCTAAGTGATACAGGATGGCAACCAAGGCAGACCATTTTGATTTGTGCTAAGGAGAATTTATATGCACAAAGAAAGCTGGTATAGCAAGGCAAAAACATTAGCAAAACAAAGCTTTATATGCAGCGAATAAAACAAATAAATGAAAAAAACAAAACAAAACACCACATTCGTAGAGTTTTCACTTAGCTGTTGGTTAAATTATTAGAGCTGCCATCCATGGCCACTGCAATGATCATCTCACTTCATGAAGTGAAGCCCATGACCACTTTCCTCACAAGAGCTTTTGCTGCTCGTGCCGGTGGTGGTGCTGTTGCTATAGCCCCGAGGCGATGGCAAGTTCGAACCGGCTTTTGCAGTACTGGCAATGCCAAGGCACAAGGCTTCACCCAATGGTCCACCAGGGGGTGAATTCATCCAAGAAACAGGGTTGTTGAGCCACTGCGATTTGAAACCCCCACCGGTTTCTCTTTCCGAGTCCATCATCATCCCAAGCCCCATTTGGGCATATTCACTTTCTTCATCAATTCCATTCCCACCCGGCATCGAAAGAGTCAGGGATGACAGTGGTGGCTTCCCCCTTGAAGTGTCGGAGCGTTTGTTGCTGATTTCATTGATCTCCTCTCTATCCGCTGAAGACCAAGCATCAATGAAGTGCCTTGTTGTGTGTGTTGTTTCACCACCTAAAGTACTTGCTTGGAAAGACACTAATTGATCATTCAGCTGTTGATTCTGCAGTGTTTGGCCATCCCCAATATACGAGTTTTGGTTCATTGGTTCTTTTCCTTCTCCGTAGCAGAGCTGGTAAAATGACATTTCTTTGTTACACTCGGTGTTGTCTCTCTTCGATCCCACTCTTGACGATGACTGCATCAGTTGCTGCCATTGTTGGTTCATGCTAATAGAGACACGGCTGTTGTCCCTTTTCGTGAACCATTCAGGACACCTTCGGTGACCAAAACACACAAATCAAATCACAAATTTATTTACAAAATACAAAAACAAAAAACCAGCAAACCCCACATCAGATATTTAGGATAAGAACAAAATTGAAAAACAAATAACAAACAATATGAAATGAAACAAATTTTAGTCACAAATGGACTATCAATCTTATGTGTCGACTAAGGTGGGTCTTATAAGGATAAGCAATCGAACTATTCAATCTAATTCAACTTACAAATCAAAACACCCAATTGTTCAAACTATCTAAAATTTCAAACACAAACACACACCTGGGTTGGTCATATGTCGAAGCAGCTGGGAGCAAAGTTGGGAAGTGATTAAAAGTAGGCTTTTGAAAGGGCTGAGTAGTGGGTGTAGCATTAGCTTGAAGGTTGATGAGTGGTCGGGCTTTGAGATTGGTGGTGGTGGTGGTACTACTAGTGGTGGTGTTGTGGGGTTGTGATTCCACCAGCTTTCTTGAACGGGGACGGCTTTTGTGGGCGTGGCGCTCGCAATACTTCTGATCCGGAGCCACGTCTCTGGAGCACCGCCATTTCTTCCCATCCGTCCTTCGACACCTCCATGGCTCCGGATCAGAACCACTTGAAAACCTCATATCCAAACCAGACACTACAAACAATACAATACCAATAAATTAATTAGTAAACAATTAACAATCTTTGCCTGCTTATAAATATAGTTAGAACCCAGAAAAGGTTTAAACTCAAATCTCAACGGAAAAAAGGTACTTCACTTGGTATTAAATAAGGAACAAAATTGAGATTAATAGATTTATATGAACAAAGTAAGAGACAGAGAGGTGGGTGTGGGATAGAAAAAGAGAAAGAGACAGAACAAGGGCACATGGAAAAGTTAAAAACTAAAGTGGGTATTAAGATTAAAAAATAAAGTAGTAGTAGTAGTAGATAGGATGTGAACAAAAAGCAAATAGATTACTGTTAGATTGGGAAGTAGCAGGAACAATATTTGATGAGGCCGGGGTGGTTGTTCTGGCAATGGGTAGGAGGAGTTGAGCAGGAACAGGGACAGAGGCCATCATGTACTTGTAGATCATTGTTTGTCTCTCCAGCTCTTCCCACTGAGACGCTGTAAAAGGAACTTCCACAGGAGCTGGCATGCTTCCTCCTGCAACCAAACACCAAAATATAATCACCCCCTATCTATCTATCTATCCCCTTTAGTGTGTGTACACGCACACAAATATATATATATATATATATATATAGAGAGAGAGAGAGAGAGAGAGAGAGAGATAAAGGGTGTGTTCTTGACCTGAGGGGGATTTGAAAGGAAAATCAGATGTGAAAGGGTGGAAAGTCCTCGGCAATACTAGTGCAGCAGCACCAGCAGAAAGGGTAAGAGAGGAATCAGAGACAACATCGTATATATCGCTGGTCACACACGCGAACCTGCTGTTGTTACTTGTGTTGCAATAAATGGGCCCACTATCAACGCCAGCACTATCACTACCAGAAGCAAAACCCAAACCCACAACGCTAGTACTATTACTCATCATAGTGTTCTGAGACTCGGCAGAAGGAGGAAAATGATGATGATGATGAGGCTGGGACTGAGACTGAGGAAGATGGTGAGGTATCACCATCGTCCTTTTGGGATTGGGGTAGGATTCGGTGCGTTGCACCTTCAAACCCAACCCAACATCACAACAGTAGTTGTTGTTGTACTCTGATGATATTGATTCTGATTCTGATTTCTCTGTACCTCCTCCACCCATAACGCCACTTCTATTTCCGCTCCCCATCTTCACAACACCCACACCACTAAACGCAACCCCAAAAGTAACAATTCCTCCTTTAAACCTTTGGTATAATCTAAGCTTCCGTCCTTTGAAATAATAAAAAAAACTATTCTTGGAACTCTCTTTTTTTTTCTCTCTCTATATGTATATATATATCTATATAGAAGTGTGTTGTTGATTTTGGGATTAAGATGCCGCCATTGTTAGCCAAATGGTTTTTGGCTTTGCTTCCTAAGCTTCCAACATTCGTCCCCCTTGCGGAATACGGACAAAGTGATAAAAATAGGGGTCCCCATTTCTCTCTCATAATTGTTGGGTGTGTAAATATACATAGACACGCATATGTATAACGTTATAGGTTAACGGTGTTAAATTCTAACATATCTCTTCACATTTGTCAACCAGTGTAGTGAATTAAAGTTACCAGCTAGATCTGATCATAAAAAAGCAAAAATGGGAAAGTGAATCAGATCTTGCTTTGACTTTGCTTTGTCTACGAAAAGACGGCAGCTGATTGGACTGTGATTTTACAGGAGAGAAAAGAGCTGTCATGTTAAGAGATAAATGTTATTATATGAATTTTCTACAATAATTTTCTCACCAATATTACCATACTTATACTCCGTATCTAATAGTAGAATAACTGAATCAAGAAAAATAATTTATTTTTATTTTTTATTATTATTTTACATGGATTTTGAAGATATTTACAGAACTATTGAGGTGATACCAAGTCGGTCCATCATTGATGAAGTTGGATTTGACGGTCACCGTCAGGAAACGTCGCTTTCGGTTCTGCACGGCGTTTGCTATTTCGGGCATCGGGAGCTGTAATCTAGAGGCCCGCTGGGCTTTTGTGCGAGGGATATTAGTGGGGACCAGAAGCTGTCGACGTCCATGGGCTGGACTTGGGTTGGGATCTCCTACTCTCTCCAAAGAATCCGAACGTCATACAATGGGTCTCATTTAATCTTAGTTTGAGCAGCTTTGAACGCACGATGCTAAATTAAATCAATCAATACCGGTTAATATGGTTTTGTTTCACAATTAGACATGTCAATGTTTACAAAGGCAATTTGTGTTCGTAAGTCATAATTGTATTGTATTGTGTCAATTTAAAAATATTTTTTTAAACAGATTAAGTCGATAATGACCCATTTAATAATTGTAATAAACACACCCAACACTAAACTTGTTTGTTAAATGAATTACACGTGGTAACCTATTTAATGACCTATATATCAAAATCATAAAATATATTATTTAAATTATTTATAATTATAATTTAACATATATATATATATATATGAGTCACAATCCAACCAGGAGGGAGGGGTGGGCCAGCAGGGGCCTGCCCCCCCAAAATTTTTTATTTTTTTTTATTAGTATACACATAAAATATATATATATATATATATATATATTTTTTAGTACACTGACCCCCCCACCCCTCTTGCCTTGCCCTAACCTTCTTTTCTTTACCTTCTCCTCCGCTGAGACTGTTTGTAGGAATTGATGAATTCATTGAATTGGTACACTACTTAGCCACTTGATCTTCACATTTTTCGATTTCTCTCTTTGTCAGACTCTCGAATCATGATTGATTACCTGGTAATTCCAATTTCCAAAGAGAATTCACATCCATTATAATTTATTCTGTTATTTTTTCTTTTTCAATTGATACTTTGATAGTGTTTCTGTTTTACGTAACCGTTTACTGGCCCGTTTGTTCAATATTTTTCGAATCTTGCTTGGTATACAAATTTTGCATAGCTATTTCATCAAAGTCTAGGGCAGTAGGGCGTTGTTCACTTGTTCTTAGCACACAATCTTGATGTTTGCTTTGTTGAATTCATGTATTCTGCCTTTTATTTGTAGTTAAATAACAACATTAGTCAACATATATAGATAAAATGAAGGAGTTTAAATGTTTAATCGGACCCACTGTGGGACTTTGAGATTGTTTTAGACTTGAATCTTGAATTGCTTTATTGTCCACTGCCCACAAATCTTGCTTTATTAAATTATTGTCCACTGACCACTGTCCACAAATTTTGGAAGCAATTTTGTTATTTCTCTTACCAACTTTATTGTTCACTGTACACAAATCTTGCTTTATTATCCACTGTCCACAAATTTTGGAAGCAATTGTATTAATTCTTTTACCAATTTCTCGATGGTACTGATGTTTATAACTTTTTACATCTCAGGAGTAAAACTGCATAATATTCCGAGGGAAACTATCACGGACTGACACGGAGGCTTTGAAAATCTTAATTGGTACACACTTTTTTCTTCTAAAACTTATCTTTTCCTATTTTTTCTGAAATTCACTTGAAATTAGTCATGTAAGTGTTGCTATATATACAAATTCTAAGCTCACTTCACAGGCGAACAATTTATTTTTTAGACACTTCACAGGCGCACGATTTATTTTTTAGACACTGCACAGACGCACAATTGTGGGTGATAACTTTTTTATATTTTAAATTAGTTGTTTTATATGCAATGAGGGTGCAATATTATTTTTACTCAATTATGCTTATTAGGAATTTAGGATCGGTGGTTTAAATTACAATGTAAAACCCTTGGTATTAAAAGTTTATATTTGAATTACCCTTTTTAGGTACAGTGTTATACGATGGTGAAGCCAAAAAGAACTATTGATTGTTTTTTTTAAAAAAATGATGTGCCTTCCGTGGCTTCCGCTTCTAATGTCGATGTTTCGGTTCATGATAACCAGCGTCCTTCAAAATCTCTAAGAGTTGAACATACAAAAGTTGATCCTACCTTTTTAGAACGTGATCCAGGATTACGTCGTCAAATATGGGATTATCCTATTGACGAACGTGATGAAGTTCGACGAGCTTATATCAAAGTGAAACCATATCAAATTGTGCTTTCAGTATATCCGCTTTCTGGATCGGAAAAGCATCGTCGTCGATTTCAATCATCTCGGTTTAAATTATTTCCTACCTGGTTAGAGTATTCTCCTTCAAAGGATGCTGCATATTGCTTACCTTGCTTTCTTTTTGGAGCGAAACCAACGGGGCGTCCTGGAACCAATGCATTTACTAGTGAAGGATTTCGAAGTTGGAAGAAAGTTAATGATGGCAATAGGTGTGCTTTCTTAAATCATGTGGGAGTGTCCATGTTTTGCTCATAGCATTGCTGAGAGAGCATGTAAGGACTTAATGAATCAACCTTGTCATATTGATACAGTGATGGTTAAACAAACTTCCGAACAAGTTTCAAATAATCGATTGAGATTGAAGGTCACAATTGATGCGGTCCGATGGCTTACTTATCAAGCTTGTGCTTTTAGAGGGCATGATGAATCCCTTCAATCAAGTAATCGAGGCAATTTCATTGAAATGGTAAAGGCTTTTGCGTCATATAATGATGATGTCGCTAGAATTGTTTTTGAAAATGCTCCAAAAAATGCCAAGTATACCTCACCACAAATTCAAAAGGAGATTTGGCATATTGTTTCTAGAAAAGCGAGAAGTAAGATTCGTGAAGATATCGGCAATGCCAAGTTTTGTATTCTTGTTGATGAAGCTCGTGATGAATCTAAAAGAAAGCAAATGGCTCTCGTTTTAAGATAGGTTGATAAGAATGGTTTTTTACAAGAACGTTTTTTTGATCTTGTGCATGTCAAAGATACAACTTCATTGAATTTAAAAAAGGATCTTTGTGCGGTTCTTTCTCACTATAATCTTGATGTTCACAATCTCCGAGGTCAAGGTTATGATGGTGCTAGCAATATGCGTGGTGAATGGAATGGTTTGCAAGCATTATTTCTTAATGATTGTCCTTATGCATATTATGTGCATTGCTTAGCTCACCGATTACAACTAGCATTAGTTGCCGCATCTAGAGAAGTAATCGTTGTCCATCAATTCTTTTCAAACTTGAACTTCATTATCAATAACATCGGAGCTTCTTGCAAACGAATTGATGAATTACATTATGCTAAAGTTATGGAAATTGCCCATTTGATAGATCTTGATGAACTTGAAACCGGTCGAGGAGCTAATCAGATTGGTAACTTGCAACGACCTGGAGATACTCGTTGGAGCTCCCATTTTGATTCTGTTTGTAGTTTGATAAGGTTATTTAGTCCAACATGTTCAGTTCTTAACAACCTCATTGAAGATGGATGTAATTACAAGATCCGGGGAGATGCTGATACTGCTTTTAATACTCTTAGATCATTTCAGTTTGTGTTTATTTTGCATTTGATAAAAGATATCATGGGAATAACTAATATCCTTTGTCAAGCTTTGCAACAAAAGGATCAAGACATCGTAAATGCTATGCAATTGGTTTCGAGTACAAAACAAATCATTCTGAAATTGAGAGAAAATAGTTGGAACAAGTTACTTGATATTGTTAAATCATTTTGTGAGTGCCACAACATTGATGTGCCTGATTTGAGTGTTCTTTATACCAAAAAAATTAAGGGCCAGTCACGTCACCCACAAGAGAATATTACACTTGAGCACCACTATCGGATTGATATATTTTATGGCACAATTGATTCACAATTGCAAGAGTTGAATAACAGATTTAGTGAAAAGGCAATGAAACTTGTTACTCTCAGCTCAGCTTTGGATCCTAGAGATGGTTACAAAGTTCTTTAACGTTGAAGACATTTGCACGCTTGTAGATAAATTTTATCCTCAAGATTTCACGGACCAAGAGAGGATTATGTTGACATTCCAATTGCAACATTATGAGGTTGAAATGCCTGTTCATTTATATTTGAAAAATATGTCAACGATTTCTGAACTATGTAGAGGATTAGTGGAAACAAAGAAGTCAAAAATCTACTTTTTGATTGATAGGTTGATTCGTCTTGTCTTGACTCTTCCCGTTTCCACGGCAACTATAGAAAGGGCATTTTCAACTATGAAACTTGTCAAAACACAACTGCGCAACATGATGGAGGATGAGTTTCTTGCAGATTACTTGAGTGTTAGTATTGAAAAAGAAATTGCTCAGACTTTTAGTACAGATTCAATTATAGATGATTTTTCTTCTCTAAAAGATCGTCGAGCTCAGCTTTTGTAGTAGTTGTTTGGTCTTTCAGGTTTCTTTTTGTATTTATCTATGTCATATTTGACTAGATATAGACCAAGTATTATTTTGTAAACAAATTGGCCAAATTTTGGCTAAATATATTTTTGTATGCATCTAATCGATCATAAAGTACTTTTGACTTAAAATATTATTATATTATATTAGTAAAACTGTTAATACTCGGCCCCCCCTTACATTGAATCCTGGGTCCGCCCCTGAATCCAACCAAATTATAAATAGTCTCTTGCATACAAGATAATACATAAAAGGCACTAGTTTAGATAGTTGTTACGTAACCTAATTAATAATGACAGTTAAGGAGCTAAAGTATATTTTTGTGAGAATTTTATGTTAAAATGACTTAATTGTTCATACTTAAACGGATTACACAAATTGAACCATCAACCTTAACACGATACGATTAATTAGTCGAGTTAATCATGTCAAACTATTTACAACCCGAACTCGTTTAAGGTCAACCCAAAATCACTTATCTCGTGTCGTGTTTGAGTCGTATTGACGGATCGTATCAAACTTTGTCATCCTTAACAATTACTCAGTGTACTAAGAGATGTAGTCTGGTCATACTTCTTTCCCTTCCAAAATAAATAAATAAAAATTGATAATTCAAGTCCTCTAGTGAGTGTATGTTTGAGTTCCATGTTAATGGAAACAAAATATATAATTCCTTACGAAAAAGTCTATTTTCACAAAAAAAAATGAAATATATGTAAATTATATGGATGCTCAAACAAGGCACAATTGGTAATATGATTCGTTGTATCGATTAATATGCAACGTATCGATCATAATTTATTTTTAAAGATATGATATCGTTATATACCTTAATGAACCGATTACTTTATATCGATATTCGTTCGAATCCATTACATATAATTACAACATATTAGGCCTCGTTTGGATGGAAGGATTTATAGGGATTTGGAGAAAAAAGAAATGGAAGGATAAAGATAGGGATAGGTGTGTTTGGATGGAGGGAATAGAAGAGAAAAGAAAGGATCGGGAAGGATTTGGAGGGATAGCCTATTACTCCAAATCCCTTCAATACAGTAAAACCAAATTCTTCCAATTTTGAGAAGATTTGAGGGGAAAGAAACAATTTCAGTATAATTATGAGAAAGACAAAATTAGCCTTGTATATTTTCAGTTTGCAGTTGCAGAGAGAGAAGGGGGGGCAAGTTCAGAGTTGCGAACGAGAGAGAGATGGAGGCTGAAATGATTTGCTTTCTTTATATATATACACACATACACAAAGGGATACATATATATATATATATATATATATACCCTAATTTGACAGATAGACATACTGAAATATATGGGTTTTGAACTTCTGATTCTTGTAGATTTTGTAGTTTGCAGTTGCAGAGAGGAGAGAGAGAGAGGGTAGGTTTAGAGTTGAGAACGAGAATAAAGATGGAGGCGATTGGGGAAGATGAAATGATTTGCCCTATATATATATATATATATATATATATATATATATATTGGTGGTCATGATCAGTTGATTTAGAAAAATAATAAAAATAATAAATAAATAAAATTAAAACAAAACCCATTACATACAACTTACAAGTTAGCAGTTACCCGCCGGGGGGAGGGGGGGATTAGCCCTAAATATATGTATGAAATGATTTGCCCTAAATATATATATATATATATATATATTTTCTGGTGGCCATCATCCATGGACCATGGGCTTATAAATTACAGACTTGGTTAGTTGATTTAGAAAGAAAAAAAAAATTAAAACAAAACCCATTACATACAAGTTAGCAGAGAGAGTGTGTGTGTGTGTGTGAGAGAGAGAGAGAGAGGGAGAAAGAGAGAGAGTAGCGAGAACAGAGATGGAGGCATTTGGGGTGGCTGAAATGATTTGCCCTACTAACCTCACAAAAGGGTAAAATAGTAATTTTAATTATTATTTTTCTTTCTTTTCTTTCCTTTGTGTTATCTAAATAAGAATATTATCCATTCATTTTTTTTTTCTCTCCTATCTATCCAAACATAAACATAAATTATAACTATTATTTTCTCTATTTTATTTTATTTTCTTTTATAATAATTTCTTTTCTTTTCTCTCCTAGGTATTCAAAATGAAGCCTAGTGAATTTTGCAAAGAACTTCTTTTTTTTAATCCAGAATTGGTCACCATGATAAAATCGAACACTCACAATAAAAAAAAAAAAAAATGGTGTCTAGAGCTATGGTTTAAATATTTGACGGTCCAAATTGTTGCATATGGACCACCGTAATGGTTTTGCATCAAAGCGGTACGGCCTCTCTGACACATCCATAAAGGCAGCACATTAGTGATTTTTAAAATTGGTAGAGTTATAGGGTGTGGGATATGATGGTGGAGTCTTCTAGTTCTAGCCTCTGTTTCACCCAAGATTAGGGCTGTTGTGTTTTGTGGTCAAAATATTCAAGAATCAAGCTTTTGGTGCCTTGTTTGAGCATCCATATAATTGTACAGTCACATGTCACATAGGAAAATAAATAAATAAGTGAATATTTGGTCGTTGGATGGGATTATATAATTGTACAGTCACATGTCACATAGGAAAATAAATAAATAAGTGAATATTTGGTCGTTGGATGGGATTAAATTAAATTTTAATTAGGAGGAGAGGCCTTTTGACTTAACTATTCAAACTAGGTTTGAATAGTAGTAACTTTGAGGAGGATGAGTCATGTAGCAACTCGAGTCTCGTTTTAAGATGCACACCTTTCAACGCCAATACCTATTGCATGGTTATTGCTGCCCATTTCTCTTGTCACGTAAGCTCATAGAATTATTAAAATATATAATTTTTTTTTTTAAATACTTCCTAATTGGTTGAGTAGAGCGGAGAAAACTCCTGCTACTTTTGATATAGTGTAAAATAGTTCATGTATAATGTAAAATATTTTTATATTATTAATTTGGTGCAAATAGTCCCCTTAGAGACTTAAAATGACAATAATACCTTTATTTCAGTTGAATAAATTAATAAGTATAAATACGGGATATGTGAAATGATCATTTTATCCAATTTGTGTAGGTTTGTGTTTGTTTGGGAAAACAATAAAATAGACTTCGATTTGTACAAGATTGGGATAAGCTAAACCAAACAAACCCAAACCCGGATATAATAAAATTTTGACATGTTTGAAGTAAATGAATAAAATTTTTGAGACAAACAAATAATATATATAAGGGAAAACTACAATTAAGTAGAGTTTGGAGTTCTAAATAACGTAGTGGTATATTTTAAGAGTTTATTTTTCACTTTGATTGAATTAAGATAAATAATTACATGTGCATTAAGAATTATTATTTAGGACTAAAATGCCCTCATAGTTATTATTCTAAAATACTAAATTATCCTTCTGAAATTCAGTATTTCCTTCGCTCAACAAATTTAGGAAAACATTAATCAACTTTCTTGAGCGAAAGAAAATTTCAAATTATTATTCTTAAATCAAATAATTCCTAAATTTATGATGCTATCACTTTTTTTAGAATACAGAATTATTGCTAATAAACTCAAAATTCTCTTTTATGAAATCAGGTTAATCCTAAATTATAAGATGGTTGTAACGTTGCATACGATGAAATGTTACCGGTCATAAGAAAACTGTTAAACTTCGAATTGCCATTGTATACTTTAATAAGTGTTTCATTAGCAGCATCATTTGTGTTTCTTTACTATCATTGTTTTAAGCATCTTGCTGCCAACTTTATGATCTATTATAAGTGTACAAACCCGAGGTACTACTATGATAATTTAAGGAACGAATAGTGAACTTTCTTTGAGCAAAACGAATTATCATATAATCCTTCTTAAATTAAATAATTTTTAAAGAAATTTGAGTGAATGAATTTTTTTAATTCTAGAAGGATGATTTGGTATTTTAAAATAAGATTTTGGAGGATATTTTGGACCTGAACAACAGTTCTTGATGCATATGTAATTATTTTACTAAATTCAATCAAAGTGAAAAACAAACTCTTGAAATAGATCAATTTGTTATTTAGGGTTTCTAACTCTATCCAAGTATAATTTTCCCAATATATATATATAATCAGCAATACCATATAGTGACACAAAAAGGAAAAGTAATAGTTTGTTATGAAGAGAGAGAGAGAGAGAGAGGTGAATGAAATGGGTTTAGGGGAGGGGGGTTTATGCACATTGTGTTAGGGGCAAAAAGGGTAAAATTGGGTTTTCATATTTACTTGTTGCTAAAAAGTGGTCGGAATGGCTTATTTGCACCTTTTTTGAATTTTATGAATTGAAATGCACATTTTTAAAAATAAGGGACTATTTATGCACAAAACCTATATTACTGAGAATTTTCTACACTTAACCCTAATTAGTTTTAGGGTTGAATATATAATATATGATAGCCAAGGAATAAAAAATCATAATTTTTCAAAAAGTTTAAATATAATGGAATTGCATCGGGAATTTGGGACTCGATGACATAACATTTTAAATTAACTTTTCATTTGAATATGGTTTTCTTTGTTTCTAAGAGCTCCCCCTTTAGATAGTTCCTCGGTTCCAAAATTATTGACCTGTTTTTTTAATATTTTTTTTTTAATGCCTCAAAACTCTTATGTTGCTATGGGAGGAAAAATTCCCCTCTAACAAAAGTCATCCACGTAGCCACAATAGAAGTTTTATTTTTAATCTCTTGATGGGTTACAAAAGCCCAACCCTGTTCAAGCCCAGATAAAGTCACCGACAGCCCAAGATCGTTAATGTCGAACTTCCGGCCCATTAATAAAGTCATTTGGACCAAGTCGCATTTAACCCAAATTCATTTAAAGAAGGAACCAGTCCTGCTAATCAAATGATTCAACAAAGAAGAAAAGTTCGATGAAGGGAAAGTCTGGCATGGAAAGAATTGTAAAAGGGAAGAATTCTACTTGTAAAGAATGATGTATATGGAATAAATTGAAGGACAAGTAAGGCGAGTCCTACCATAATTCCACCACCTTTTTGTATATAAATAGAGGTTTAGTCCTCCAATAATAGATATCGAGCAATATACGCTTTTCTCTCTATAGTTCTTGTTAATATTTATTTTTCTTGAGTGAATTGTATTTTTTCTTTAATTCGTTTTTGAATAAGAGAAATTTTGCATATACACTTTGGCGCCGTCTGTGGGAAACGTATAAAAATATACTCCCACAATTGATTCAAATCTTTTATGTTACTATGATCTGGAATGTCAATCGGAGGATCCGCAGCAGCAGCTGATCAGCAGATGGAGTTGATGCAAAAGATGCGAAAAGAGTTCTTGCACCAATTTGAAACGCTTTGTCAAGCGAATGAGGCCAGCATAGCTCAGATTGCGTTGCTTCAGCAGAAAAACAACGCCCTTCAAACGGCGACGGCTCAGATAGCACCGCAACCACCACCTGGTGACGCGACAGCACCTCTCCCCAACCAAAACATTCCTCTAATTAACGAACCTTAGGCCAATGAGGTACGACCTAATCAGGTTTGGCCTAACGAAGTTCAGCAAGAGCAGAGGACAAGAACTGAGGTGGTTGCTTCGGACAATCATCCTCGTCGCACGCAGGACGAACAAGCCAAGTTCAGCCGTAAGTTTACGGTATGGTCTAATGGTATTCCAGATAATGCTGGCATATAGGTGGCCTTTGATGAGAAGATGCTCCTAAGGATTCAAACACCCGCCGAGATGGTCAGAGAGCATAAAAACTCTCTAGTAAGGATTCCGTTCACCGACGATATATACCGTGTTGACAGACCTAAGAAATTCACCATACCTTCTTTCACTCAATTTGATGGTACGGGAGATCCTTCTCGTCACCTCTACCACTATTCATAGAAGATGGCTTTGGATAATCATAATAATGCGTTCATGTGTAAGGTTTTCCCGACTAGTTTAACGGGAGCCGCATTGGAATGGTTCAAGAATAGGCCATACAAATCCATCCCAAACTATGAAACTTTGTGCGCTATGTTCTTAGCACAATACTGTGGAAACAAGAAGCAGAAGAAAACCATCTTTATGTACTTCACCATAAGGCAAAAGAGAGGAGAAACGCTACAGGATTACCTATCTAGATTTAACATGGAGGCCTCGGAAATAGCAAATTGTCATCCTGAGGCTGCAATAGAAACATTCAACATCAGTATGATTCAGGGAACCAAGTTCCATACCTCCCTAGTCAAATATTCCCCTCCGGACATGCAAACTCTCAATGCTAGGGCACAAGTCTACATTCGACTTGAGAAGAATGCAGCCCATCGAGCGCAACACGCCACCCTTGTCACGGTAGAAAATAAGCTTCGGGAGAAAGCTTCGAGTGCAAAAAGTCAAAGAAACCAGCACGCTACAACACCAGTTGCCCAGGTACCCGAGAAGAGGCAAGGACAGAGGAGAGGTTCACCCCCTTTGTACAACCCTGGATCGGTTATTCTAAGAAAATAAGATAAGGTTTACAGCCCCTCAGCCAATGAGGTAACCCTTGGAGCAAAGGGACAAAAGCAAACACTGTGCTTACCGTAGGGATTACGGATATATAACCAATGACTGTAGATCCCTTAGGCGGCAAATGGAAAACATGATAACTAGAGGTGAGTTAGCAGACTACCTCACACCAAAAGAGCACGTAAAGCCTAGGGAGGTCAATCCTCGGAAAGTAGAGGGGAATCAAGTAAAGGTTATCCATGCGATACATGGGAGGTCAAAAGACGACCAAGAGTCGGAAGAGGTGCACCGATCCAGACTGAGGACAACTCACAAGCTAAGGAAGCTGTCCTCGGTAAACACTATCGCTTCAGGCAGTGTCAGTATTGGGTTCGGCGATAGCGATTTATCGAGAGTTTAGCTTCCCCCCGAGGATCCGTTAGTCATCAGTCTTCTGGTGGCAAATTGCATGATCAAAAGAGTTTTGGTGGACCCAGGCAGCAGCGCCAATATTATTACAAAGGCAGTCTTTAAGCAACTGGAGATCCCGTCATCATTAATTCGACCCATATCTAGTTCTTTGATGGGGTTCGATGGAATAAAGGTGGACCCCATTGGGGTGATTGATCTATCCGTCACTGCGGCAAAAAGGATATTGAAGGAAGATTTTGTTCTAACAGAAATCCATCCTTCTTACAATCTCATTACGGGAAGAGGTTGGATCCACCGAATGAATGGGGTCCCGTCTACCCTTCATCAAATGATACGATGCTTGTCTCTGGACGGTAAGGAGGTTATAAATCTTTGGGGAGATCAGGTCGCTACCAAAGAATGCTACATGCTGACACTGAATGAAGCAAAGAAGATGATCAAGCAGACCTAGCCAGATGTGATCCCCGGAGGCACTTCCAAATAGCAATTACAGAGCCTTCTGCCCAAGTATCTAAAAGCAGAGGAGGAAGCCGAATCTACAAAGCCTACCGAGGAATCTCTATAAATCGTCAAAGTTATCCTCGGCGATCCTCAAAAAATTACTTATATGGGCTCTTCCCCTACAACCGAAGAGAAAGAAGTATTAATTGATGTCATTCGACGGAATACATATACATTTGCCTGAGATCATTCAGACATGATAGGAATCAACCCGTCAATCTCATGCCATAGCCTGAAGGTGGATCCGGCGTTCAAACCGGTTAAGCAAAGACACAGAAGGTTAGCTCCTGAGCGCAATCGAATCATTGCTGAAGAAGTAAGCAAACTGTTTCAAGTAGGCTTTATCTGGGAAGTGCACTATCCACAATGGCTCTCAAACGTGGTGGTGGTTCAGAAGAAGAATGGAAAATTGAGAGTGTGGATAGATTTTACCAATCTCAACAAGGCTTGCCCCAATGATAGCTTTCCACTACCCAAGATAGATCAGATGGTTGGCGCTATCACTTGCTATGAGAGACTCACATTCCTCAATGCGTATTCCAGGTATAATCAGATCCCTATGAATCCAGAGGATGAAGAGAAAAACGCCTTTATAACAGAGAAAGGCACATACTGTTACAAAGTCATGCCCTTCAGACTTAAGAATGCTGGGGCAACTTACCAATGTTTCATTAATAAGATCTTCGATGAGATGCTGGGAAGGACGGTCGAAGCCTACATCGATGACATGGTGGCTAAAAGTGTGAAGAAAGAGGATCATCTTAAGTACCTCCAGGAAGTCTTTGATACTTTGAGAAAGTATAACATGAAGTTGAATCCTTCCAAGTGTTCCTCTACGGTCTCTTCAGGGTAGTTCCTCGGCCATATTGTCAACAAGAGAGGAATAGAAGTAAGCCTGGCTCAAGCTCAGGCCCTCATACAAAATCATGAACCAAAAACTCGCAAGGAAGTACAGGTTCTAATTGGCCTAATCACAACTCTCAGCCGCTTCATATCTCGATTATCAGATAAGTGTAAGCCATTTTTTGATGCCATAAGATCAAAGAACAAGGATTTATGGGGTGCTCAACAGCAGAAAGCACTCAATCAGTTAAAGTATTACATGGCTAAACCACCAATCTTGTCTGCTCCGAAGCCTGGAGAAACCCTCATCTTGTACTTAACAATCTCCATTATAGCCACTAACGCTGTGCTAATCTGAGAAAAAGGAAAGAATCAGTATCCGATCTTTTACACAAGTAAGACGATGACGGATGCTGAGATAAGGTATAGCAAAATGGAGAAGATCATACTAGCATTGGTGTATGTAAAGATGAAGCTTCGGCACTATTTTGAGTTTTATAGAATCGTGGTCCTAACCAACTACCCAATGCAAGCTATTTTTTCCAAGCCAGACTTGTTCAGAAGAATAACTAAGTGGGCAATCGAACTCAGTTCCTTCGATATATCTTACGAGCCAAAAGTGTCACACAAGGGACAGGCTTTGGCCGATTTTCTCTTGGAATATGAAGATAAACCCGACAAGCCTGAGTCTTCCGAACCACAATGGGAGCTTCGGGTAGATGGCTCCTCGAATCTAACCAATGCAGAAGTTGGAATCGTTATTACAACCCCTGAAGGCACCAAGCTACAGCAGTCAATCCGTTTGACTTTTCCTGCCACTAACAACGAAGCCGAGTATGAGGCCTTACTCGCCGGGCTCCGGTTGGCAAACCAACTCGAGGTAAGGTGTCTAAAGGTTTTTAGTGACTCCCAGCTCATTGTGAATCAGGTGACAGACAAATATCAACCCAAAGAAGAAAGAATGAAAGCATACAAGGAGGCTGTAGAGAGTGCTACACGTGGATTCGATTAAATCGAATTCCACCAAGTACCTCGTGAGGAGAACTCTAAAGCAGATCAACTGGCCACATCAGCATCTTCCACAGACAAAGATTTAGTCCGGAAAGTGCCAATTGACATCCTGGACGAACCTAGTATAAGTTCTCGGCAGGAGATAATGGTGATCCCGGACATTCCACGAGAACCTGCTAGATGGATCCGCTGGAATCTTACCACATGTGATACCTCTGGATTTCTGAATGCGGGTTGGCCAGGCCCACGCCCGAATACTCGAGGATATCAAAAACAAATTGATAAAAAATGAACACAGAGTACAAAAGAATAAAGAAGACTAAATAAAATGCTGACAAGAAACTAAAATGATAATCTAATAATAAACCTCAGAATATATTTCCATTAATTAATAAACTCTTCTGATACAACTGATCCTCCAAAATATAACTCGGGAATCCATACTGTGTGGACCCCTAGATAATCCAAACTAAACATATGACAGCAATAACTGTCTAAATCAGGAAACTGAATCATAAAGGAACTCCTATGTAGCATCGGAGGAATGAAGTAGACTGATCCCTACTCAGCGCGAACAACCTCTACTCCTGACGAACACCAGAAAAATAATGGTGGGTCAGGCCCACAAACAAGTTCTACTCTACTACAGTCCAAGCAGAGATCCGATACACGTATACATCCTAGTCAATCCAACAGTAATCCGTATATATATATATATACACACTAAAGGAACCTTACTAGACTATAGGGTTGTCTCAACCTAAATAGTAGGCAACATGCAAAACGCACATATAGTGGGCATGAGTACCTAGACCTACCAGGGTACACAACTACACTATATCTAGCTACACATCCCTGGCGATATACGCACCCTAACCACTGATCCTGAGACTCAAACTCATATCATGGCACCATACTTATATATATATATCTAATCTAGTAACCATCCTATTCAGTATAAATTAACCCTCAATAAGTCATTCAACTTGTTCAGCTGACCTGACTTGAATATAAGTAGGACTTAACATTTTAGTTAATCCATTTCCTTATATAATAAATTAATCCTCCATAAGTCATTCAACTTGTTCAGCTGACCATACTTGAATATAAGTAGGACTTAACATTTTAGTTAATCCATTCCCTTATATCAAATAGGTAGGACTTAACTGATAAGTTAATCCGTCCCTAGAATGCCACCGTCCCATACCGGAGCATTAAACCACACAATCCAACAATTGATGTAACGATTAAGAAAATACATCAAACAATCAAGAAATAACTATGATAATATGATATTAAGTTATCACAAAATAGGAATGACTTATTATTTATTTAAGCTTCCTATATCATATATCCTACATAAACTGAATGTTATACATATGATGATATTTTGTTATACCGTCAAATAAGCATTCTCCGTATCCATTTCATCCTACACATTTAATCTCAATTGCTAAAACATATTAAAAGATTAAATCCATTCGTTTGTTTAAAACATTCAAATAGCAAGCATCATTATGATTGAGTCTATTTAAATTTATTTAAACCTAAACCTAGTTCCTACTTAATGTTCAGGAATCCTAGGCATGTTTCTACGTTCCATCATTCCACAGATATGAAAAATACATAATTTAAACATGTAAAAATTCACATCGGAAATCAAATAAAAATCATGCATTTATTAATTTATAACACAAGAACAGATATGAACCAAATTCATAAAACCTATGTTCTAATCCAATTAAATATGCATAATTATTTAATTTTATGTGTTTAATAAATCCTGGAATTTCCTAGGCAAGTACAAAAACACGAACCAAAGGGAAAGAGATAGAAGAAGAACTTGCCTTCAACTTTCGGATCGAAAGTTACACTTCTTCTTCCTTGATCTTTTCTCTACAGGGTTTTTCTCCTCATTCCTTCCTTAATTTTTCTCCTTTCCTCTCTAACTCTCTCTCTCTAGAATATATTACGTGAATATTTCTAACCCCTTTTACAACCTATAACTATATATTTATAGGCTAAACAAAATAACCCTAACCTTTTTCCCAATCCAAGTTAACTTAAAAAATAAAAATAAAAATATTAAAAAGGTAAGTAAAATATGTTACGTATATAATTTATGTATATGTTTATTAAATAAATAAATTATACACATTCCATTATTTATTAATGGATTATCCAATAATACTTAAGTTACCATAATATTATAAAGTAACTTAAAACATAACACGTATCAAATCTATGTATATTTTTATTATTTAAATATAAAATATATACATCAGATTAAATATTACTACCAAAGTTACCATAAAAGTAATTAATAAATTACTTTCCTTTTTATATATGTATATAATATATATCTCTATATATACATACACAATTATCCATGGGTAATAATTCATACATATCAAACCTCCTATCCAAGTCCATGGGACCCAATTGGTTGGCCCATTACTACTAACCATAACCATAAAAGAAAAATAAAATAAAATAATGAAAGAAAAGAAAACATAATTAATCAAAACACCATTTAAGCAAATAATCTAATTAAACAATTAACACATAGACAAATACAAATAATACATAGATACATAATCAAATAATCAAGTAATACCTAATTCAATTAAACACATAAGCAATTAGTCAAATAATCAATTAAATAATTAAAAATACAATTAAAACAAATAAATAAATACCGAGACTATCCTTTAAAATTAGGGGTATTACATTCTTCCCCCCTAACAAAAGGAATTCCGTCCTCGGAATTTGCCCTTACTTTCTTCCATTATGCTTGGAAACTGTGAGCGAAAAAATATCCTCCTATTCCCAAGTAGATGCAACCTCACTATAAGAGCTCTACTTAACTCCAATATACCAAGTGGTATACAGGGTTCCTATATTATAAGAAACACAATAATCATACGATGCGTAGGTTGTATCAACGTAATCCTCCCATGTCGACAAGGTAATGATTTACATACCTCCAAGTGCCATAGAATATACGCACAAACTCCTAATAATTTGGTAACGCTAATTCAGAGGCGACTGCCTCAATTGCGAAACACAATCTTTTAAAAGTCAATGTAATAAGTA